TTGCAGCCGAGCCCCCCCTGCCCGCATCCCTCCCCTGCCCCGCTGCCGGGCTCGGCCACGGCTCTCGACTCTCTCCCTCGATGAAACATGCTGTTTTTCATGTTCAGGATAAGGAGCAGAGAGTTTATTTCCCCCCCCCACCCCCCGCCCCCAAGTAACACCTTGGTAACAGCGTAGGCGTTGCAAGAGTCATCGCCTGGCTTCCTCAGGCCGAGGAAATCACATTAGCTCGACCGAATTTAAACTTTTCGGTTGGTGGGAAAAGAGCCAAAAGATACCAAGGCCTTTTCCTAGACTGGGCGCTCTCCAGTTACGCAGGGGGAGGGCAAAGCCCGGAGCAGGCTGGGGCTGAAAAGGTTGTTCCTGTTCCTTTTGCGGGCTGCAAACAAGCTGCGTTTGCAGCATGACTTCCTGAGCGGAGGCCGCCGCTCGTGACACACACACACGTGATGAAACGCCAACGCCCTGCAAGGGGTTCAGCCTCACCCCCCGTGCTTCGGGCCTGGAAAGCGGCGGGTTAAATATGCCCCAGCGTAGCCCATTTCCTCAAACCACGCTTTTTTGTCTGTTTTCTTCTGAAAAGTATGGCGCGGACACAACATGGGTCTACGATAAAATGATGGCAGGATGTTCTCTGCTAGCGGACACGACCAGAACGACAGGGTACTATTTCTTCTTCCACAGGAGAAGGAATAACAATCAAAATTTTTTACTCTATTAAAATAGCCCTCTTTACAGTTGGTTCTGTTCACTACAAGTGTCTCAAAACAGTATCCGCATGCAAACTGATACCTCGCAGCCTACGCAAACGTGAACACAGACAGGAAACACACATCTCGCCAAAAGTACGATCTACCCACACTTCCCACAAGACTGAACCCAGTCCCAAACGTGCAAGGAACCGTCGCTTGCTGCTGACAATAAAGTTCTTGGTTTCTGTGGATGCCACGTGTGTACCGTGACCAGGGGAGGGCTTCCGCTGCTACCCGGTCCGCCGAACGCGTGGCCTTTGTGAACAAAGATCGGCTCCGCTTCCCTGCCAGAGCTGTCCCAGCTCCGCGCGTCATGGACGTGCACAGTTCCATCAAAACCTTGAATAAAAGGGAATCAAACCATAGAAATAAATTGCTTGTTCTAGTCCCACTGGGCTCACGCTTACTTCCTGGCAGGGCTGCTGAGACAGAAAGGAGGACAAAGGCCCAAACCTGTGACAGCAGAGAATCCAAGCCCCCGAGGAGCTTCTCTCAAGCTGCCAGGGAGAACGCGGGCCAGATCCAAAAAGCCTGTAAGTTCACTAGCCTGAATTTGCAATGTTTTGGCCACGAGGCCGCCTTCCTGCCCAATCAGTCTTATCAGCGCAGTATCCCTGCGGCCAGGCTGTCACCGGCACTATCAGGGCAGTGTTTGATAAGAGCTTGGGGTTTTTGTTCTCCCGGGAGGGAAGGGGGAGTCCCCCAGAACCCATCCAGGCCCCTCCTGTAGCTGTTGGAGAGAGGCAGCTGCAGAGGACGATTAGCTCGCATCTCTGCTGGCTCCAAGCTCTGAACAACCACCGCTTAACCAGGGTGTTTAAAGTAAGGTGGGGTGAACCGGGCCTCGATAGAAATACAGATAAAAAAAAAAAAAACCCAAAACCCCAAAAAACATCAGGAAAAGGAGATCTCTGCCCAAAGCACATACCCGAAATGGCAAGGCAGCCTTCCAGAGCAGGAGCCCAGGAGACACACAGGAACTCCGCACCGGAGCTGGGAGAGGGAACTCTGCACTTTGCTGAGGCCAAGGACTCCGAGGTTTTTCTTAGGTCTGTTAGGGTGAGGTGCCCTCCGCTCGAGAGGCGAGCTACGGGCCGGGAGCTTGAGTCAGAGCCTTGAGGTCCGCGCCCGACTCCCATGCACCACCGCTCGCCACACAGCGCCGAGGGGACGGACGCAGCCTCCAAGGGACTCCGCGGCTGCCGAACGTCAGCCAGGCACAGCTGCCCCTTGGCACAGCAGAGGAGAAACGCGTTGCAATCCAGGAACGCCAAGCCACTGAGCTCCTCGCTGTTTCCGGAGGCTAGAAAAGAGAAGCAGATCTCAGATGCCACGAGGAGCGTTTGCATGATTTCTCCGCTGCAATCTTACCTGAGAAAGCAGATTTCTAGCCTTGTCCCTGGAAATGGCTTTCAAGCAAGGCTAATTAGTTCTTCCAGAGAGCCAGCAGCAGAGACTGACGCCCTGCTCGAGAATTATCTCTGCACAGGATCCACGCGGAGCGGGGACAGCCTGTACCCCTCAAAAGGTGACGTTAACACCCAGGCAGAGGAGAGAGGCAGGCCCACGACTAACGCCAGCTCTCTTTGAGCTCCCATGGGGGACCTGACACGGACCAGGGCTCCGACAGCAGATGCATCCAGCGCTACCCTTGCGGCAGCGGGAGCCGCATGAGTCCCTGTGGCACAGGGACACAGCAGAGCCCTGCAGTGACAAACAGATTTGCCCTTCCCTCCTTTTGCTCGGCACACCAGGTGAGAGCTGCTGGACACACACATTTGCCTCACCAGGGAATGAGGTGTGTGGGGACTGAGCGTTATTGTGTAGGTGAAGGCAGGTGGTCTCCAGGACCCCTTCAGGACTCCCAAAACCAGACCTGGATTCACCACCTCGATGTAAGGCAGGGCTGGTTTAACGAGGCTGGCGTGATCCCTCCTCTCACCCGCACGGACAGATGACAGAGTAACACACAGCTTGCTCAGAAGTTGACGCCGATTTCAACGACCCCAAGCGATGCGACTCCGGGGCCAGCACCTCCCTCGTTTGGGACAACACATACGGCAGCCCTCTGCTAACCCAATTCTTTGCACTGAAACCACCTATGGAGCTCTTGTAGGGCACGGATCTGGGGCAGAAGCCTGAGAAATCACTGTCATGGGAGTAGTGAGAAGCTGGAGATGGACCAGAGCATGTAACCTCTTTCCTCGATACAACGTACTTTCTGCAAATATCTTTATACCCTTTGGCGCACGTCTGAAAGCACCCACCCTGGGAAACGTTCGCCACTTGAGCAGTTACCCTTGCTTTAAGCAAACTCCAGCTTTCCAAAACCAGACATTCGACTTGGTTTGAATACCTGCCACGTAGACATTTTTCCTCGATTCAACCTCTGTAATTTGGACGCTGTCGAGTCTTGAGCCATGAAGGACCCACGGGGCTCTGGCCGAAATGGTTGCAATTTTAGCCCAAGGTTGCCCAGTGCCATTTTCGGTAGGTATGGCACTTACAGATTTAATAACATCTATTTGAAAGAGATGTAAGCAGTTGTAAAACACATCAGGAGTCAAGTAAGCCACAAGATTAAGCTGTTTCACAGAGGTGCCTCGCAAAGCTAAAAGTGACCTACTAAACCAGTAAGAAATCCAATTATGACTAACCCCCTCTCCAGAATAAAACCAATCTTTCCAACACATCCAGCAAGGATTGACAAGAAGCCATTTAAAAATCTAGCAAAACGCATGGGAAGTTGTGAACCAAGGCGCTTCTTTTCAATGCAGAAGAATAAGAAAACTTCTAATACCATTTTGCACTTCCTTTCTGGTGGCTTCAAAGTATTTCACAAGAGTAGACCAAGCAATGGCAATCCTTTTCTAGAAGCAGGCAGACATAGGCTTGGAGAACTGAGGTGGTTCCTGGTATATCCTGAAAGGTGATGTGTGGAGCTCTTTATTTCTAACCCTTGGAGGTATTAAGGGAACGTTGTGCTAACTGTACGATCAGGGTTTTTGTTTGTACGACTAAGAGCTCACAAATAAGTGGAAAGCCACTGTGACAGGCCTAAACCTACTAATTCCCTTAACGAGGTTTGTGCCATCGAGTCCGTTTCTTTCCAAGCCACCAGAATCGGGGCAGACGCTTGCCTTGCACCCTTCTCCAGCCCCTGCCACACAAGGGCAGTCACTCAGGGGGAGTATCACTCATGGGACCGGCACTCCTCTCCTCATTTTACACCCAGGAAGGGGAAGTTAGAGATGCTTGACGCAAGGACTACATTGAGAAACTACTCAAGCTCAGAAACACGTTCCCTTACCAGAGTCCTCTGCTGACACCTGCCAGACCTGGAGGGAGCTGTCTGGTGGTCCACTCGTCACCAGCAAGCTGAGGAAACAAAAATAACCCCACAAAACCCTTCAGGAGCAGAGAACGTCCTTTTTTTCCCCCAGCCTGGGACAAACTCGTTACGATAAGCACGGCTGTGCTCTGCCACTCCTCCTGTGCTCAGGAGCTCCTGGCTCCGTTTGGAGCAGACACGGAGCCATAAGGACCGTAACGCCAGAACTCCTCATGCCAGGGTGCTCTACACAGCCCAAGCAAACACAGTCCCAGGCAATGGCATTTAATTAGCACATTTTCCAAAAGCGCTAGACTAAGAACAGTGCAAAGAGCCCCAAAGTAGCAACAGGGGCTTGCGTAGGAGGAGAGCTGAGCGAGTGAAATGAATCAGCCAGAGGGAAGCGTGTTTGCCTGGTCTACAATCCACAGCAGGAAAAAAACCTTCTGAACCTGCATACGCAGGGACTTACGGAGCGGCGGCAGCAGCCACCAGCATCCTGCTCTGCCTGCTGAGCACCTCCACGCAGCGCCAAATGCAGAAGGAAGGGATGGAAAAGGCAGAGCAAGGAAGCTCTACTGGCCCCCGTTGCTCAGAAGCGGGGTGGGGAGGGATCCCTGGTGAGCCAGCATCAACATCAGCAGCCCCTGCAGCTCACTTCTAGAAGAAGCTGAGGATTCAAGTTATCCAGCAGCAGCTTCAGTTTTCCTGCCAGCTGCCCCAAAGACGCACCGCTGCAGCTTTCAGTACCGCAGCAGCGGGGCGCACCCCGTTTTGCTGAGCATCCTGATAGATGACTCCTCTCCAAACACCACGGCAGGGTTCTGGGAGGACCACTACGTGTCACTGGCCAGCAAACCCCCACTCAGCGTCACACTGCTCTCAGAGCTGGCAGGATTGACCAGCTGGGTTGGGAAGCAGGCAAGGAAAAGGCACTCTCTCTCAGTGGACAAGCCCCCTCTCCACCTCCAGTACACCCTGGAAGGAGCCTGTGGCCATACCTGGTGTCCGGCACATATTTCAGGCTGTACACCGGGCGGTTTGAAAATCCACCACATTCCACCTTGAAATCTCTCTCTGGACACAAGCCCTAGAATCAGAGACAAAGTCATTTCTTCACACTTTGTGGTGCAGAACTTGGTGTGGTCACTCACCACGAAAAGAGAGACATGAGACACGCTCTCGCTTGGTAAAGCTGTTGCCTGTCCAGTAATGCCTATACCGATAGGAGCTACAGGATTGAAGCATCCCAAAATAGTTAGAGGAAAAAAAATATGGAGAAAGCTCCTGCCAAGAGCTCTGCCTGGGTTCGCTGCCATCCATGCACATCTGGCTCACGAGCTTTCTGCTTACCCAGTGACCAAACACCACCTTCTACTTTAGGGTAGAGGTCCCCCATGCAAGGACCAACATCGCTGTTCAGCAGCGCGGTGCCCCAGGCTTGGCCATCTCAGCCAGCCCCTTCTTCGTTTGCCTTGGTGTCCTCATCTGTCTTATTTCCCCACAAACTGCTTTCATCCATGCATCTGGAGATGAAATTTTCACGGCACAAGCTGCCCGGAGAGCAGCAGGATTACGTGACCGGACTGCCAGCCTGCGCTACCTCAACTGGACAGCAGCTGGGTGAATTACGTGCTTTACCTCTTGACCAAAGCTGCTTGAAACCCGGCCAAGTCCTTGTCAGAGCAACTGAGACCAGGTAACAGCTTGTGAAGCCCAGCACAGCACAGCCCGGTCTCTGAAGACACCAGACCATGGAGAACAGAGCGACCTGGTGCCACCCTAGCTGCAACACCCACCTGGGTCTCCTTCGCCTGCAGCGTCGGTGGTGGGAGCAGCTGCAGGATCTCCTGCCTGCCAGACTGTCCGTACCCGGCTACGCAGACACCTTGGAGGTGAGGATGAAAAACCAGGGACAAGGTAGGGATCAAGAACCAGGGACATGGTGAGGGATGCCCCACGGCCTGGCCCACTCTGCCTGAGCCAGACACCCGAGGCATAGAATCACAGAATCATAGAATCATTTAGGTTGGAAAAGACCTTTAAGATCATCCAGTCCAACCAGTAACCTAACACTACCAAGCCCACCACTAAACCAATTCAGGGCAGAGTAGCAATTTCATGTTTCCTGCCTTGGGGGGCTGGGTTATTTTTAATGAAAGTAAAAACCGGGAATCACTAAGGTTGGAAAGGACCTCTAAGATCATCAGTCCAACCATCAACCCAACACCACCATGCCCACTAAACCATGTCCCAAAGTGCCACCTCTGCCCGTTTTTTGAACTCTTCCAGGGATGGGGATTCCACCACCTCTCTGGGCAGCCTGTTCCAATGCTTGATCATTCTTTCCATGAAGAAATTTCTCCCGATATCCAATCTAAACATCCCCTGGTGGAGCATGGTATGGTCCACCCAGAACCCTGAACCCAGAGCCCCGGCTGAAGCCCGGCACAGCCCCAGCCTCTTGGCCCTGCTCCCGGGGTCCTGGCCCTGTACCTTGGCCTCCCCTCTGGGGCCCTGGCCTGGACTGACCCCATGGTCTCTCTTCTCCCTTCTCCATTGCCCTGGCCCGTCCCCGTGGCCATTTTCTCTACCCCTGTGGCCCCGTCCCTGTGGCCATTTTCCCTGTCCCCATGGCCCCAGCCCCATGGCCATCTTCCCTACCCCCGTGGCCATTTTCCCTGTCCCCATGGCCCCATCCCCATGGCTATTTTCCCCAACCCCCGTGGCCCCGGCACCATGGCCATTTTCCCTAAC